CATATAGTATACCCATCTTGTAGTATATCGTTTCCCGAGCGGTGCGGCCAGAAAGCGCACGCCGCGACGCATTTACTACAAGATTTCTCGGTGCGCGCGTCGCCCCTGGGGGGGCGACGCACGCACCATCTTTCTGCGTCACTTTCCGAGCCGCATCGATCTGTGAGGGCCCCGGGGCCCGAAAGGGAGCGAGAAAGCACGCCCGCTGCGAGAAAACCGCAGCGGCAGGATCTCGAGGACACTCCGCCACGCGCAAGGGGGGGCGAAGTCCTCCTCCTCCTCCTCCTCCTCCTCCCCCTCCTCCCCCTCCTCCTCCTCCTCCTCCTCCTCCTCCTCCTCCTCCTCCTCCTCCAGATTTCGTAATAAAGGGAGGGGGGTCTCATTTCGGGGGGGGTCTCTTCCAGGCCATCTTGGAGGGCCTGGGGGGTCTGGGGACGATGCTTTGGAGGGTTCTCCCACGGGGGGGGGTCTGAAATGGCTTGTCTTGGAGGGTCCAGACCCCCTCCCTTTTATTACGAAATCTGGAGTATTGAGCAGGGACCGACCGTCCCGGCATTCCTATAGTCCTCCCACGGAATGTTCTTAGAACCCCAAAAACGCTCTAAGAACAAAAACACTGTTCTCAGAACAGGACCCCGATATATCAAAGCAAGACAGACTCCCAGCCAGAAATGCTCTGAGAACATTGCGTGGGAACCACAAGTGGTTCTGAGAAAATTGTTTGGTGGGGCTATAGGCGAGCCCAGACATCCAACGTCTCGACTTTTTCGACTCGCGGACCCCCGTCCTCCCGACCACTTCCCTGGGACCGTTTTTTCATCCCGAGTCGTTTTTTGACGGTCCCGAGGCCCGGCGAGGGTCCCGAGAGGCCGAAAACTATGGAAAACCCCCGCCTCGTGTTTTTTTCTACCTTTAGGACGACCTTTAGGACTACCTTTGGACTACCCTTGACCCTTTGGGGCTATTTTGGGGTATTTTTGTTGGGGGATATTGTTTGCGGGCTACTTTTTTGGGGGGGCTATTTTTTGGGGCTATTTTTTGGGGGGGTATTTTTTGGGGGGGGTATTTTGGGGGCTTTTTGTTGGGGCTGGGCTCCGAGCCCAGACCTCCTCGAGTAATGAAAAAATCATGACGGGAGGTTTTTCCTAATTTTCGGCCTCCGGGGGCCCTCACCGGGCCTCGGGAGCCTCAAAAAACGACTCGGGATGCAAAGCCGGTCATGGGGAAAGGGTCGGGACCTCTGGAGGTCGACGTAATGAACAAATCATTACGTCGGGGGTCTGGGTACAAAACACGGCGCTCGACCATGGGCATCTACGGTCAAAAACCCTACTGAGGGCGCGCGGTAAGGACACAAGACCCTCGGAAGCCGAGGTTGGGATTCTTGGGGCGGCGGCGGCGGCGTAATGAAAAAATCATTACGTCGGGGGTCTGGGAGGCGGCCTGCCCACGAGGCGAGGGGGAGAGGCCAGCGAGAGTGGTGCAGAGGCGGGACAGGGAGGAGGAGGAGCGAGGAGCGAGGAGGAGGAGCGAGGAGGAGGAGCGAGGAGGAGCGAGGAGGAGCGAGGAGGAGCGAGGAGGAGCGAGGAGCGAGGAGGAGGAGGAGGAGGAGGAGGAGGAGGAGGAGCGAGGAGCGAGGAGGAGCGAAGCGCGCAGCGCCCACGGCCCCCAAAACGGCCGGCCAGCCTCGGAGGGCCCGCGCGCCGCCCCCGCGCGCCGCGCGCGCGCGGGCCCCGCCCCCGAGAGCCGACGCCGCGAGCACAGCGCGACGGCGCGACGCGTCGCGACAGCGCGAGCGAGCGACCCACTGCGACCTCCTCCTCCTCCTCCTCTCCCTTCCTCCTCCCTCCTCCTCCTCCTCCTCCTCCTCCTCCTCCTCCTCCTCCTCCTCCTCCTCCTCTCCTCCTCCTCCTCCCCCTCCTCCTCCTCCACCTCCTCCTCCTCCTCCTCCTTCTCCTACAGGCGGATTCCCAGAGATCCAACGCATTGAAAGAAGCAGGAAGGAGGTTTTTCCTATTCTTCGGCCTCGAGGGGCCCTCGCCGGGCCCCGGGGCCAGCAAAGAACGACTCGGGATGAGAAACCGGTCCCAGGGCATGGGTCGAGACTTCTGGGGACCCCGTATTGCTCCCAGACGTGCTCGCGTCGTAAAAAAAATCGGGACGAGAGGTTTTGGGCTACTTTCGGCCCCGGGGGCTCCTCGCCGGGCCTCGGGGCCGTCAATCAACGATGCAGGGTGAAGAGCCGGTGCCGGGGAAAGGGTCGGGACTTTCAGGGACGCCGTGCTGAAAAAATCAGGACGTCGCATGTCTGGGCTGCGACGTCGCAGACGAAACGCTGTGAGCAGCTGCGACGTCGTGACAGGACGCAGGCCCCACTGGGACGAAGCCGGGACGAGGACAGATGCGGGTGGAGTAAAAAATCGAGAACTCTGAGATCCGGCGGCTCTGGAGGATGTCTCGGGCGCGGCGGCCTTCTCAGAACGTTCTGGAACGCCCTGAGGGCCTTCCGCTGCGAGGGTGTTCCGCAGCGCTCTGGAACGGATTGATCCTCGTCCCAGCCCCGTCCGACCTACAGGGCAGTGTTTAATACAAAGGATGTTTGAATATATTGGAAGTTTTAATACATGATTAATGTATGAATAAACTCATGCATGAACTCATCTTTGTTTTTAATACTAAATCCCTGCATTATTAATACATGATCCGCACGCGGAGCATGTATTAACAATGACACTGTACAGGGTCCCCAGAAGTCCCGACCCTTTCCCTGGGGCCAAGTTTTCACCGCGAGTGGTTTTTTGACAGCCCCGGGTGCCCCTCATGACCGAAGACATCCAAAAACCTCCCGCCGCTTTTCCACGGCGCGAGAGTGCCTAGGCTTTCGGGTCATACCTCGGCTCTCTGGCGGCCGTTCGGGACGATCCGGGCACACCCACAACGCCCTCGGCGTGGCGCAGCTACTGGGGAGTTTCCCAAGGCTGGAACACCGCGAGCACCTTCTGCTACGGCCGGACCACGGATAGAAGACCATCCTCCAGGAACATGGAAGATGAGATCCTCCGCCGGCCAAGCTGCAGAACATTCGAGGGTACCCTCCCCCAGGAGTCACAAAGACATAAAAAAAACACGAAGCACACTGGGGGTGCCCTCCCCGAACACCGACCTCGATCTGATGCATCGGCCAGCTCGTGGCGTGCCGCACCGAGGCGCGGCGGGCCAGGACCGGCGGAGCGACGCGCTGCCCAGAGGTGCCCGAACGTATAGGCGGGCGCCAGCTGCGGTGAGGGCGCTGGGCAAGGAACCCTTGGATGCGCAGCCCAGCCAGGGTCCGAAAGCTGGCGGAGCACCAGCGGAGCGACGACCAACAAGGGGCATTGCTTATGCGAGATGGCACGGCGACCCTGCGCGGTGGCCTTCGCGGGCCGCCAGCGCGGCACGCCGCACTGGAAACGAGGGCCCTCACGCGCGACCCTACGCGGGCAACTTCACGCACGGACGTCGGCGCAGACGACCCCGTTTTTGTTTTTTTTGCGTCGCTCGACTGCGGCTCAGACATGCGACGTCCTGACTCTTGTTTTTCAGCACGGCGCCCCTGGAAGCCCCGGCCCTTCCCCCGGCACCGGCTCTTCATCCCGGA